ATGTCGGGGGTTTAAATGGAGAGAAAATGTTTTGAGAAACGATGTACAAATGCGCTTTACACAATTGATGTGTGTATGGATTGGGATAACAGTTGTATGAACCCCTAATAAAATGTTAAAAAAGAAGAAAAGAAAGAACTAAAATATATATATATATATTGAACTATATAGGAATAGAACTCATTAACGCATGTAGTTTGAAATAGAGAATTGGGGATCGGGAATATGGAGAGAGAGGAGAAAGCTGAGATAGAAATTTTGAGTCTCACAATCATTGAAGGGAGTGAGGAGGAAAGGCTGACACCTGCACACATGCGTGGAGAACAGGCAGGGGAGGCAGAGGGATCAGCAGAATGTGAGTTCAAGGAGGAGTGGACTCCATGCAAACCTGAAGAAGGGGCTAATGACTTCAGCAACTAGTGGATCAATAATCTTGGTGATAACAGTTCCAGAGGTATAAAAAGGGATTAAAATTGAATTACAGTGAGTCGGAGAGAAAGGGAAGCATTAAAACAAAATAGAAAAGACAGACAATTTTTTCAGGGAGCTTGTTTGTGATTGGGAAGAGATAGGAATGGGTCAGAAGAGAGAACTGGGAGATGTGTTTATTGCAAATAAAGATTAAAACAATTAAGTTTGCTTAAAAATGGATAGAAAGCAAGGATGGGGGTATGTCAAGAAAACAAGGAAATTGATAGAATAAGGTCAATGAAGACACAGAAAGCAATGATATCAGAGTACCTGTAAAAACACTGGCTTTATTTGTTTGATCGCTTTAACAGTAGCTATAGAGTGAAATAAGAGCCGTGGTGGCAGAGTGGCTCTGGGTAGAACTGCTAACCACAAGGTCAACAGTTCTAGACTACGGTTACTCAGGAGAAAGACGAGGCTTTCTCCTCCCATAAAGTTAACATTCTGCAGAGCCCACAGGGAAATCCTACTGGGTCCTATAGGGTCCCTATGACTCCGAATTGACTCTATAGCAGCCAGTTTGGAGTTTCATAAAGTAGGAAGAGAGAGACATCTGGTGAGAATAAGCAAAATTACAGCCCTCTGATACCATGCTATACTGATACCACCATTATTTGCATGACTAACAATATTAACATTTCCAAAATAAGGACTCAACAAGAAAGAGCGCCATTAACTTTGAAATGTTCAAACATCCATTATTGTTTAATCTATGTGCAATTCAGTCAATCAATTTAGTCTTCAGACTCCCTTTATTAGTAAAAACGTCTTCATTAGTAAATAATTTTGTAGGTGAGATTTTATTTGGATTGCAGAGCATAAAAAGAATCCATCTAGAAAGGCTGATTTTATTGCTATAAGCATCTAATACTAATGGTTTCTCTTCAAATCATATAAATCTTTCACCTTTTACAAGCATTTTTCTAAAATTATTAAGGGGAAAACAAACAAACACTAATGCTCCAAGGGAATTTGAAAATAGTCAACCTGAACCAAGATCTGCATTGAAAGCAATACTAGAAGAACAAAGGGTAAAATTAGAAATGGATAGCTATTATGTTAAGGAAAATTTTATGGGGGAAAGTAGTAGGAAATTTAAGAAGATAAAGTATTAAGAAAGAAGACAGATGTTCTAAAGGGCTCTTGTTACTCTTTTGAACAAGATTGAAATGTCTTTTAATTTGAAAGAAAGCATTTGAGGACAACTGGAGTTAAAGGGTCCAGGAACTTTCCATGAAGTCATACCATGGAGTATATACCATGGAGCCAGTAGAAAAGAAAATGGATTCTGGAAAGAGTCTGGTCTGCAGCCCAGCTCTACTGTGAACAAGCGATTTAATCCTTTCAGTCTCCAGTATGGCAACTGTGCAATGAGGCCAATTGTACCTACACCTCGTAAGACTGCTATGAGGATTAGATAACAAATGCAAGCTACTTGGAACAATAACTGGCACTATATATCCATACACACACACACACACACACACACATATATATAAATAATCTGTGATTATCTCAACAAAATGAAAAAGAAAAAAAACAACAACAAAAAAAACACACCAGAATTTAAATCAATGGAAATCGCTTTGAAAAATATGAAGTATTTTTAAGTTTAATAATAAAAACTAATGAGAGTAAGTTTATAATAGAAATTCACATAGAAAACCCACAAACTTACCCGAACAGTTTTTTTGCTTGTATTACTATTGTGTTGCCAGTTAGATTCCTCAAGTTTGCTCAGATTGTTGAATTTTTGGTTTACATCATCTATCTATTAATAAATAACACATTTACCAGATTAGTGCTAATCACATTAAACAAAAATTTGAGTATGGTGACT